ATATATATATATATATGTGTGTGTGTGTGTGTGTGTGTGTGTGTGTGTGTGTGTGGTTAAAATTTTACAAATTGGTTTAAAATCAATTTTCTTTTGAAGACAATTGCATCATAAAACGTATCGAAATCTAACCAATTGATATCAGTAGATGCACGCACAAACGTCTTATTTTTACAGATGTTTTAAAATAGCCTCCAGTAAATGCTATAATCTCAGAAATAGAAAATGTGTTTTTAAAATGTTTATACTCACCGTAAAACAAGTATTAATTAAAAACAAAAACAATGTACTGAGTTAATTATAAGTTTATAGCTATAATCTTGTCAGATCTTAACTTTCATATAGATGTCATGCATGGCAACAAACTCGTTTAGAAATATCTAACCTTTAGCTTTATACAAACATTTTCTCAGATGTCTAAAAGTGGTTTCTAGTGAAGGAAGCCAGTACATCTTAGCGAGAAACATTAATCTTTGAACCTCGTTGACTAGCGCTACATAATTACAAACAATGCATCAAATAACATAATGTACATAACTACCAACAGCAGTAACAACTAAAATGGGTAGCACATGCAACTCATAAAGAAAATAATTAAGATGCTGTTCTTCCAAACTACTTCAAACAAAAGCTTAGGCCGGAAGCCCCGATCAGTACTGGAAAGGTCTATAACTGTTAGTGGACTTGAGAATTGAATGATTGATTTCTTGTTTACTACTTGTCACCTCTTTGACAGGGCTGACCATCAGTACCTGGCTGATGCCCTGCAGGCTGTCGGATTCGAACCCGACTTCTGCAAGTGGATTAGCCCTCTGGATCACAACCCCAGTGCTGTGGTACAGGTGAATGGAAAGTGATCGAGCACTTTTGCGCTGACTCGGTCGTTCCGATAGGATTGCCCACTGTCGACCTTACTTTAGGCTTTGGCGTAGGAGCCTTTCCTTCGCCGGCTAAGTGACAGGGCGTGCATTCTGGCCCTACGAGGAAGCGCCGTTTTCCATGGAATTGCTCGAGCTCGAGTTTCTGCGTACGCGAATGATGTAGGCATGTTCGTCTCGTGTCGCAGCGACATTAAGTTGGGGCTGAACGTGCTTAAACGGTACCAAAAGGTTTCTGGGACCAAGATTAACGGCAAAAAGTCTTCCGGTTTGCGGTTAGGTGATTGGAAGGGGGTCGCGCTCCGGCGCCCTTCGGCTGAACTGATGGACCCATCTGCATCCTTAACCTGTGGTTCGGGCCCGGACTCCGTCTAAAGAAAAATTGGTCAGAAGTACAGGCAAAGGTCGGAACGGTGGTTGGGACTTGGCTTCGAAGAGGGTTGTCCTTGAAGGGTAGGGCTGATGCGTGTGCCACTTACGTCTTTCCTCTCGTCCTTTCCAGCTTGATCGTACTTCCTCTCTACTGCGATTGAGCGTTAATTGATCAAGCACTTGTGGGGTGGTCGCAAACATTGGGTCTGTAAAGAAGCCTGTTACCAGCGTCCGTGTCATGATCATTGCCACACCTGGCGAGTCATCGCCATGTCTCAATGTTGGCTTTCCTACGCCGCGTGTTGAGGGAGTATTAGGGACCCCTTTCCTAGCCTTACCATCTCTCCCACCTTTTCTTGGGGTAAGCGCCGTCGCGGTTGTGGAGGGTTGTCGAGGTTTCTCAGCGAGTGTCAGTCGGCCTTGAACGCCATTCCTCAGTCCAGTGACCTGTCTTGGCGTCGGAGACTACTGTATCATGAATTAGTGGAGGGGATCGCGAAAGATCCTCTGTGTGATCGGCTCGGCTCGGCTCGGCTCGGCTCGGCTCGGCTCGGCTTGTCGGCATCAGAGTTACGCTCTTTTTTGTCTTGGTCTCCAGCGGCGGATTATCTCAGCAACCCTGAGTTTTCGCTTTGCTGTCGATTGATTTGGAACGTGCTACCTCTCAATGACGTACTTTTCAGATGGGGCGAGGCATATTTGCCAGATTGTCATCGGTGTGACCTTGGATTAAAGGAAACGGCTTCACATGCCTTCTACCATTGTCCTCAGGTGTGCCCTTTTTGGTATTATGTCGGCGAGTTAACGGCTTTTATTGCTCCCGATCGGCTCATACACATCGATCTCTTGTACGCGTGTGACAATGTGTCACCCCCATTATCCGGGTAAAACCGATGGTGTTTTTCACGTTGCTAGCCGTAGCAATAATGGTTGTGTGGATGTCACGAAAGGAGGGAATCTTGCGAAAATGAACGTTATTCGTATTAGGATCTGATTGTTTTCTTTAAGCATTAAATAAGATCTAATGGAAAGCTTTTGATTTCAACAGATTTCAGTGAAAGGTGAGTGACTGTGGCGAGCTTGGTTCGTGTGAATGGGGCTAGCCTTGATTTTCTTTTTTTAAGTTCCCTTAACGTAACGGAGTGGTTTCCTGTTGACCCCCCCAGGTTAAGTTAGACACTATTTTGAGTTCCTAGTTAATGTGTAGGTGGATCCAACTAACATTTGTTGATTTTAGTTTTATTTTTGTCTTAAAATTTTAATTTGTTTTCTGGGTTCACCACCTCCCTATCATTTCATGTATCATAAAATTGTTATATATTTTTGCATATTTTGAAAGTTTTATGTCATGGGGTGTTTTTTAGGTCCCTTGTGAATATGTGGTATTGTGGTACATGTAGGATGGGGAGCTGATGGACAAGTTCTTTTGGTGATTGTGTATATTATATTAAAGGAATGGATCATGTTTATGGTTAACTAGGAATAGGATAGCTAGTGAAAGACCAGCCCTTCCCTACATCCCCTTCGGCTTTGTGTCACAATTTTGTGTTTTTATACAGAAAAATATATTGAATAAAGCTTTCTTAAAGCTTACACCTGTTTACTTTTGTTATTACAATTGTTTTTTTTTATCTCATAAAATTCCAACCAGTAACAACCTATATCACCTTTAGTTCGTATATGTGCTTAATAGCCACCCCACCTTCAAGACAGCAGTGATTAAATTTAGTTTGTCGGTAAGATTTTTATTTACTTTTAAGAATAGCATTTTTTTTCTGTTGCTTCGACTACCTAACTGATTATTCCGGTCGATTTCGAGCTGGAAAATATCCAAATAATAAAAGCAACTCTTGAGAAATAAACCTGAAAAAGGATAGATATTTTGTTATAACTTTAACTGAATCTTTTATTTTCCATCTGTTTCACTGACCTTAGTGAACTTTGGTTTCCAATGCAAATAATACCTACGCTACAAAAGATTTTGTGGCAAATAAGCTTAATCAGTTATCGCCCATGAAATGCTTTCTAATTTCCTCTCTTCGATTTTTCTTTTTTTTGTTTTTTCTTTTATTCCTTCAATCGAACATAGTTTATAAAAAAAATGTCTATTGAAAGGAAATACGTTCATCGGTAATCCTTTTAGAAAATAGGTAATCACACGAACAATGAAAATTTCGTCTAATTGCTAATGTTTGGTTACGTCGAAGCTGAAAAATACAAAACAATTTTCCGTCTGTCCAAATGATATAATGTACATGATTTTTTTTCTTTTAATCATTTCACCCCAAGCAAGTCGACATTGCCACTTAGATGCAAGGGCCTACTGTGAATGAAAGGGAATGAAAAGACTTTTAAAAGAACCATAATCTCAGTCCTAAACGGGAAACAATGAATAAAACACTAAAAAATCGTGGAGAAGTGTGAAACAGATGATAGACGATCTTATCTTCTCCTATTATAATGATAATGATTGGCTGATTATGATTATTATTATTATTATTATTAATTTAACTGCCATGCTGAGAATACCAAGAACATAGCACATAACCAACGCCTCAAGGAAAACTGAAATAATAAAAATGATGCGTGTACTAAGAATCAGAAAGAGCTAACATTTCTGGTACACATAATGAGGAAGGAGGGCTTGGAGAATTTGATAGTCACGGGACATATTGAAAAAAAAATGACAGGGGATGAAGGAAGGTTGCAGTTGCCTGTGCGATACTTGTCAAAATGGTTTTGTCTCGGTCAGTCTGTTTACTTCGAAATATTGTATTCAATTTTCTTACCTTTATTTTTTTTTCTTTTAACTTTTTCTTTACCGCCTACATTCTCTTTCTCTTTTGTCATTCACTTTGTTCTTTTTGTTATTTTCTTCGTCTTTATCTCACGCTTTTATTCTTCATTTAACAAATTTTATTTTTGTCTTCTTCATACTTTTCTTGCCATTACTTTATTTGATTCTACCTTATTTTTATGTCTTCCATATCGTACACGATCTCATGCCGGTAAACAATCCCAAACAGACAGTGCCATCCACAACAATCTCCATGAAAATTATATCGGTTTTCTGTCATTGTATATGAATTAGAAGCCAGTCTCGATTGAATGCATAACGACCAGGTAAGCCTAAAATAATACACAAGTATTTAGTCTGCCATATATGCAGGGAAGCCTGCAAAAATGAAGTGGGACTCTTCGGTTAATTATGGGATAATAGCTACTCAGTCTAAAATTGAAGAGATGGTCTTTTTACTCGAAAAATTTCCAACCATTATATATATATATATATATATAGTAATTAAGCAAAACTTGGACAAAGACTAACATTTCCCACGAGCCACTATAATGCCCTGAAACCAAACGAAAAGCAAAGAGTAAACTGTCAGCTTTCAGTAACACCTATTTTTCAGAGACAACAGATTTGTTTCACTTGCAAATCTAGATCGAAATTATATCCAACAAAGATATTCGGTACAGAATGTCAGGATTGATCGATTGATTTTCTTTTTACGACTCATTTACCTTTTACAGAATATTTAAAAACATAAAACATTTTAGATTGGAAGAATTGTTTGAGATATTGATTTTTAAGGATACAAGTTCTTCTCATTAACCCATAGCTGGGAGGAAAAGAGGAGGATTTGTACTTTTCCCAAGAGTATTTGAACGTAAGTGAATATGACTAACCCGACAAGAATTGAAACTCGGCTCTCCGATCCATAGCACGCATATCCAAACTTACAGTTTACCTGGCATTCTCACGCTGTCACCCATTTAGGTACTGACCAAGGTCGACCTTGCTTAACTTCGGTGATCGTAACGAGAACCGGTGTTTCAGTGACAATTATGACGGGCTGAGACTTAAATCATACAGTTGAAGGCTAATACAACAATTGGCGGAGTTCTTGAAAGTAATGAGTTTAAGAATGCACAAGAAACGGCTGCGGTACCTTACGAAACACGTGTCCATTAACTTTAACTATTGTATACTAATTTTGAACCTCTGAAATCGATATCTCATGAAGTCAACAGTTGATGTCAAAAACAACTTCAGAAGCCGACAAACATCTATAGTCGTTGTATTGGCTCTCCTGCCATCATATGGGGGAAATATAATACATGCTTCTACAATGTCGGAGAAAAGTGTTTGCTAATGTCGACTCCAAAATTTTGAGGTATCAAGTTTTATCAGGACAGTGCTCCTAGTTATACAACAAAGACTGACAGAAATTCTGCAGGGCTTACGTCTTGTTCCCTTTTAGCCCACATCTGAACTCGCTGGGCTACATCGTGTAAAGCAATTTGGAGCAGGCTATCAACAGTACTTCCCAGCCCAACATTGATACCAGCAAGGAATATTGGGACAATACAGTAGCGTCCAAAACTAAGGGACAAAATTTTAAAACCTAATATTTGTTAGAAATAACAACTGTGAAAAGCTGAAATTTTGACAACTGGTAGTCGTTATCATCCATAATAACATACTAAAATTTGAATCATTTGCAAAGGATAGAAAAAGAATTATAACAATTATTTATTTATTTTCAAATTTGGAACGTCCAAAAGTAAAGGGACAAAATTGAGAAAAACAATGTAAACGGCAAAAAAAACAATAAAATACATGTACAATCAATATTTAGTAAATGAGCCCTTGCTCTCAATGGCAGCTGCACATCTTCGACTACAAGAACGAATCAGTTCTTGACAATCCTCGATACTAATTTTAGACCATTCTTCTTGAAGCTTCACCCACAAATCCTCCGTGTTAGTGGGATTTCTTTCCATAAATTTCACTCCTAAGGTCTTCCAAAGATTTTCTATTGGATTTAAGTCAGGACTTTGCGGTGGCCAATCCATAATTTCCAAATCTTGCTCGCTAAGGTAACTCATTACCACCTTTGCCTTGTGACATGGGGCATTATCTTGCATAAAGGTAGCCCTATCTAAACCTGAATTCTGTATGATTGGCACAACATGATCTTGAACAATGTTTTTATAGATCTGCGCGTTTACACGAGTTTGTAACCGGACAAGAGGCGTTGTACCTTGGCTAGAAAACATTCCAAATACCATGACGCTTCCGCCCCCAAACTTGACAGTTTTCTTCGTACACTTTTCACTTAATCTTTCACCAATACGTCTCATTACATTGTTTTTCCATCATTTCCAAATAAATTAAACTTGCTTTCATCACTGAAAAATACTTTTGCCCAATTTTCATATGTCCAAATTACATACCTGTTTGCAAACTCTAATCTCTTCTTCTTATTCTTCGAACTAACAAGTGGTTTCTTCCCTGGGGTTCGATTAAACAGCCCTATTTCTTGCAGTCGTCTACAGTCTGTCTTGACACATTAACACATGAGGTACTATTCATAACCCTTTTAATTTCTGTGCAAGACTTAAAACGGTCCTTTAATGACATACGCTGCATTATTCGATCTTCTCTTGCCGAAGTTTTGCGGGGTCTGCCGATTTTAAAAGCACTAACTATTTTGCCAGTATCATTGTAGGATTTAACAACCCTGCCTACAACACTCTTGGAACGTTTCACTTTCTCTGAAATCTCTTTAATGGTGTGCTTTTCCTTGTGTAGCTTCACAATAGCTTGTCTCACAGAGTAATCAAGTTTTTGGCGTTTTGCCATGGTGCCGGCTGATGCAACGTTTACAAATGACTAAGTAAGACTTATTCTTTAGAGGAAATCAAAAAGATTGAATATAGTATACTGTTTACATTGTTTTTCTCAATTTTGTCCCTTACTTTTGGACGATCCTATTTTGAAAATAAATAAATAATTGTTATAATTCTTTTTCTATCCTTTGCAAATGATTCAAATTTTAGTATGTTATTATGGATGATAACGACTACCAGTTGTCAAAATTTCAGCTTTTCACAGTTGTTATTTCTAACAAATATTAGGTTTTAAAATTTTGTCCCTTAGTTTTGGACGCTACTGTATTTAGACAACTTTTTGAGATAGTTTTGAGACTTTAATTGAAAGTAATAGAAACTACATTGACTCTCATTCATTCATATATATATATATATATATATATATATATATATATAATTTAACAAATGGAGGTATTGAAATTTTCTCTATTTGACCTACTACCCAAGGTCTGTTAAAATGACAAAACCATAACATAATAAATGGAAAGAGCTTCTTGTTCGAGACAAATACATTTCAGTACCCCTCATACATAGATCTATCTTTGTAAATCTATCTATCTAAGATTCTATCTATAATCTGTTTTTTTTTTCTACTTGCGTTTGTATAGTAAAACGATTCTCAAAAACAAGCAGATATAGAAAATTAAAATAAACTGTGAATAAGCAGGCATTTAATGAGTAGTCTAGTCTGTTATCTTACATTAGTCATGGCAGGAAATGCGGGATAATCTCCTCACAGATGAACGAGAGGCTTAAAGCAACAAAAAATCGATTCTACACAGGATGCTGAGAATACCATGGACCAAACATATGAACAACGACGATAATTTAGAGAAAATATAAAACACCAGGGAGAAATAGATGAAATTTCTAGGACACATAACGAAGAAAGAGGGCTCGGGAAATTTGATACTCACATGATATTGAAGATTGGCGCATTTTTCAGAAGTAAAGTGGAGGAAAATATCATCAAAAGTTAAAATTTAAGTACGCTTTAAAATAGTCTTTCTGCAACTGACTGTGCAATTAAAGTTAAACTATGGAGGGCGTTATGTGATGTAATTTAATGCCGAACGGATTTTTTGAAACAGTGTAAACGCATATGCCTTATATATCCTTTATATATACAGTCCTTTACTTGCATTCTTTATACTTACATTTAATTGTTTCTTACTAATTGTTCGCCCAATAAAAAGCCGAAGACACACTCAAAGTAAAGGATTACTGAATGATGTCATTCTATGAATATATGAGAAGTGTGTAAAAATCCCAGTATATGAGGACATATAAGAATGATAATAGTTAATCCTACCTAGACTTGAATAAGATGATTGTAGTAATCGAGAATTCATTCACTCGAGTGTCTCTTCCACAAAGTACCGGTTCTCAGGAAGAATCTGTTCAAAATGTAGTTCCTTCTCAAGAATGAAATACCAAGGTAATGAGGATGATTCATCACAATGTACATGGCATGAATGGTTTTATCGTTTAAATTTTACAAGCTAGTATCCGGTGGGAGATCCCCATATTTATGATGAATTGTATAATTACTGCTCTGCTGCTTCTAGATAATTTCATCCAAGTAGTTCACTAGCTAAAACCGTAAGTTCTATTCTAATAGTTTCTTTTCTCGCACTCATCACCTGTAAAACCCTCTTCCGGTTTCTGGCTTTCCTGCCACCTACAAAGATATAAATGCAACGTCAATCACCATCTTCTGTCTTCTTCAAGCCTGTACTTTTATTGTCATTTTTCTTCAATGAAATCAACTCATTCCCAGTAAGCTATTTGCGTCTTAGTGACATTAGCCCTTTGCTTGGAGTGAAAGGATAAGAACATATCCTAACGAGATGGTAATATCATATTAAATATGAAGTTAAGCGTGATATTAGATTGTGAACTAAATCACGCCATTTTACTGTTGAACTAGCTAGATGCAACCGTATTTTCTATTCTAATAGTTTCTATCCTCGTAATTCTCATCTGTGGAACTCTCTTCCGGTTTTTGATTCCCTGTCGCCTACAATCATCAACAATTTAAATCCAAGGTCAGTCACCATCTTCTGTCTTTCTGAAATCTATTCTTTTATTGACCTTTCTCCTTACTAACGTCTTCTCATTCACTTTTGCATCCATTAACGCCTTACATTTTATTAGCATTATCGCCTTGCTTAGGGGGAAATGATTTAAAAAAAAGTTGATGTACGTACTGCTTGTGGGTATGACAAAAAATAAAAAATATATCATTTAAAAATAGGAAAAATCAATGAAAATCTTTCTTTGTTGTCTATGATAAAATTAGCGTTCTTGATTATGACTATTGATGGTCAAAACAGCTCAAACAGAGAACTCCTGTTAGATTCCTTTTAAATTTTATTTGGGTTTGCCACCACATATACGTCGAGTGAAGACGCAATATAAATTGTATAAACATGAATTTTCAACCGCATCCCAAAAAAAAAAAAACAATTTATATACATGTATAAATACATGTATAAATACATGTGCATATAATCTTATCTCTATATTACTACGCACGCATACAGGCATTTATTTATGTAGAGCCAAGCTTTCGACTCACATGATTCATCGCCAGGAGTGTGAGAAAGGGAACGTGAATGTAAGAAAATCAAATGTATTTTAAGCACGACATTGTTTTAAGAGTGTCGTTATTTTTTTTGTTTGAAAGCTAAATCTAATGTAGAAAAATTCAGTAAGTCATGTCAGTAACATGTAACGGCAACGAGATATTTTTTTTTACATTCAGGACCAAGCTGACTTCATTGGGAGTAGGGTGAGAAAATAAAGAGAAGGAAAAAAATCCAATGTATTTTTAAAGTAACGAAACGTAAATCAATGCACTGTTTAACATACATTTGATTTACTTTTCTTCTCTTTACTTTATCACTATGACAATGGCTCACGAATGTTGAAAGCTTGGACCTACATATAATAGAACAAAATTTCACGCCATTATACTTTGCCGGTACACGATGTTATTTCTATTTCCCATTCTACTGCGCTTTCAAACAAAACGAAATTTTTTAAACAACATATTTCTTTGTAAACTGCGTCTAGAGTTTATATGCAAAAGAGGTATTGTCAAATATTTTATGCAAAATTCATAGATATGTGTTATCCAATGAAATAATTTGTACTATTATGT